ATATTTCTCATCCCCAGAAAGAGTGTTTAGCATATTTAACAACTTCATTTTCCAAGAGGCAAGATCCTGAAACTTTTCTTCCTGGGCCCAAACCTCTGGCTCTGGACTGAATTGAAAGATGTGCTCTAAACTATGACTAATATAATAAGACAGGAGGATTACGTGTTTTTTGTGCAATTTAATAATGTGTTTAGAGGTTTTCTTTTCCCTGAAAAATGTTTTTGTTTCAGTTTGGATTTTTGGCCAAATCATTTTACTGTTGTCCCTGTTTTAGTGTAGAATTGATTCAAATATTCAAAATATGTCTATTCATTGGTTAGGTTTCTTTTCTTTTTTTTTAAATTAGGTGGCTGGTACTAGAAACCAGACTTATTATTCTAAACAGAACGTTATCAAGACTGGGGCAGGATTTCTCTCCTTCCTTCTCTTCTTAAAAAACAAAATCAGTTGATTCTTTCCGCCCGGTCTCCTTGGCCTGTGCAGCAGAGATCGGACTTGCCCCTGCCTGGTTTATTTTGGCAATGCCGTTAGAGTGGTTTCTTTTTTCCACAGAAAATGTGTTTTGATTTCTTCTTAGAAGAATACGCTTTTGTTCTTTGAAGTTGCATAAATCGAATTGCTTTCAGGCTGCAGACGCCACTGCCTGGTCTTCGTTATCATTGGTCTCCACTTCTTAACGGTGACACTGTCGTGCCCTGGCTGGGTGGCTCCATTGGTTGAGTGTTGTCCCGTGGCGCCGAAGCATCGCAGGTTCGATTCCCCGTCAGGGCACATACCTAAGTTGCCTGTTTGATCCCCTGTAAGGGCAAGTACAGTAGGCAACCAATTGATGTTTCCCTCTCCCTCCCTCTTCCTTCCTTTCTTAAAATAATAAAAATAAAAATATGTCCTTGGGTGAGGATTTAAAAACAACATTTAGATATAGAAGCATGTGCTGAAATTGACTTTATAGGAAAAATGACACTGTCGTAAGCATATTTTTGAAGTTTATACTCTTTTTTTCCCCATTTTATGGTAGGATCTTATTGCAAACGCTGATTTTGAAAGTTTAGATAGTATTTTTTTTAACAAAAAAGTTACAATAGTAGACATCTCTTTATCTTAAATCATATTGAAATTCTTCTATTTTAAGTAAATTTTAGTGATTAAAAGCTGAGTTTTAAGCTTCTTAGGTTTAGACGACATTTTTGCTGAGATATTTTTGTTATT